GCCATGTTGAGTCATGTCGAATCATAGGTGTGCCACGAGTAGAAAAAGATTGCAGAACACTGGCCTAGAGGGCAATAAACTCAGCGGGAGTGGAGGGAAAAGTGTTGTTTTAAGTTATGCCAACGCAACACTTGGGCAAACTGCTTAAGGGGAATGCCTTCCATGAAGTCTTTTTAAGGGTAACTGGCCTCTATTTAGGCGTTACAAGGGTGGAGAAACTCGGAAAACTCCACGTGGCCAGCCCGTCCTGGTGAGGCGCGAATCCACGACCGAACTCCTAGTGTTCAGGGAACGAAACATCTTTGGCACTGGTGGGTCAAGGTGGAAGTGTTTATAACTGGTAGACGGAAGTTGCGTGCGTAGAGTGCCATGTTGAGTCATGTCGAATCATAGGTGTGCCACGAGTAGAAAAAGATTGCAGAACACTGTAACTTACTGCTACAGAATATTTTGTGTTGTTTAGAAACGTTTAGTAAAGGGTTAAAGAAAGAAATGTCTTGTTATTTACTTTCCTTTACATTATAGAAAGCACATTAATATTTGTGTTGTCGTCGGCCTTTGTTGTTGTTATGTATATTATCTGGCTATGATGTTTTACCACTTGCTTGATAAGACCTTTTAGCCTTAATTCTTCCAAGGCTCTCCGAGCGAGTGATCCCCGAACCTTCAGTCTTTCGGAAACAATCGATTGCGTAATCAGTTTATAACTCGGAACCTCCCTTAATAATTTTTAGTAAGTTGCTTTATCAAACAATACTAAATTGTTCGATTTGTCACGGACTTTTCCTTTAGACCACTTCTTCTTTGCTTTTCCTCCAGAAGAGGCTCCTTCCTTCTTAGTTGTTCCTTTAATATCTTTCTTCTTTTGATCTTGCTTGGGTGGCATTTCGCAGCCTTTACTTCACGAGCAGATCTTCCAATACAAAAGGCCGTGAAACTACATCAAAATGAAAAAAAAAAAAAAAAAAAACTAAGTAGAGTCATTTTGACTCGCCATCTCAGTTCAGGGTTAAAATTCTTCCTTTGCACACTTTTACGCAACGAGTTAGAATATTCTAGCTTGTTGCCTTTACACAACATAAATGGCACGCCTCCTTGACTAAAAGGAAAATGGCGGAAGTGTATTCAATTTTCTTTCAACATGGCATCGCTACAGCCAGTCTGTGTAGTATATTCTAGCTCGTTATACATATATAAATTATTTATTTACTTATTTTAAATAGAAAATAGAAAAAATTAACAAATATACGTTAAAACAAATACCACCTATTTTACCAATACAGTATTTATAAAATGTAAAACGCCAAGCGTACAAAAATTTATAAGTTTCTGTCTGCCCAAGATGGCGGAATGGCCGAGCGGTCAAGGTGGCAGCCTGCCGCTCTGAGGGATCCGGAATCAAATCCAGACGAGTCGAAAAATTCCCAGGAACTTTTTGGGGGTGGTCCGTCCCTCACCACTTTGCCGAACCCATAATGGGCTTGTTAAAAGAGGCCCTCTTAGTCCCCACAGGACGGAAAGAGAGAGAAAAAAAAAGTCTATTGCTCAGCTGTTGTCTACACGTTAAAATTGTGTGATGCTATGTTTTAATATATGTTACTAAAAACTAATTTTTACATTATTAGTTATTATAAAAAAAGAGAAAGGAAAAGGTTTAATTTTGAGCCTATAGATGAGTTTTTAAAAATATTATAGATGCCAATAACGTAAAATTTTCGTTAAGTCCGATCCCATTCAAAAAATGACACGATTTGATCTTGCGCGTCAATGGCAGAGTGGATAAAACCACTGATTACAATACAGGAAAGTATTATAACTTTTCTTTCGTGTTCGTTTTACTTTCTGCTGTAAGTAAAACACGAAAGAAAAGTATTGCTTAGTGAACCCTGCTCTTTACGTTGTGACATCGCTGTTATGTGTTATATGTAAATATATTTAGATATACTGTAGTTATTATTTCTAGAATTTTCTGTCTTCCTCTTTTGTTTGCTTTATTACCTAGAGCAGTGTTCCGCAACCGGTGTGCGGTCACAAGGTGAAAGGTGTGACGTGAACTTTACATATTCTATTAATTTCAAGTTTTATTTATATATTTTTATCACAGTTGTTGTGTTTCTTATGCTTGTATTTCATTCACTGATAAAATAAGATGATGTTAAAGCAATAAACAGATATGTCGTCACAGTACTCACATACTCTTTTGGAGTTATACATTGGACTCACACAGATCTTGAGCGACTCCAAATGAAAACAAGAACAACACTTACTAAGCATAAACAACATCATCCTAAATCCGCTACAGAAAGATTAACCCTTCCACGTATAGATGGCGGACGTGGCCTGATCGACATAGTTAACCTTCACTACAAACAAATACAGTCACTGCGAGAGTTTTTCTACAGGAAACAAGAAACATCACAATTACATAAAGCAGTAACTCTAGCAGACTCAAAAAACACACCATTAAACTTACACTCACATCATACAGACGTGACACAATATATAAAAAGCATAGACACCATTAAGCAATTGTGGGTGATCGAAAGGCACTCTATGGCACTCCATGGCAGACATCCTTATGACCTGGCCCAGGATTTTGTTGACAAAACTGCGTCAAACAGCTGGTTAGATCAGAGATGCCTCTTTGGGGAGACGGAAGGATTCATAATTGCCATACAGGATCAGGTCATAAATACTAAAAACTACAGAAAACACATACTCAAAAATACAACACTCACAAATGACACATGCAGAAAATGTCACATCATGCCAGAAACTATACAACACATTACATCTGGGTGCAAGCTTTTGGCACAGACAGCTTATTTACACAGACATAATCAAGTAGCAAATATAATACACCAAGAGCTTGCAAAGAAACACAAATTATTAGACATCCACGAACCATACTACAGATACATTCCACAGACGGTATTGGAAAACAACATGCACAAAATGTACTACGACAGAACCATAATCACAGATAAAACAATTTACCACAACAGACCAGACATCAGACTCATTGTCAAAAACAATAAAATCACATACATTATAGACATATCCATTCCAAACACTTAACGAACAAAGCATATGCATTGAAAAAATCAGCAAGTACACAGAACTCGCCCAGAAAGTAAGGCATCTGTGGAGGATGGATAGGGTGCTTATTGTATCCGTCGTTCTCTCCTGTACATGTGTCATACCACACGCTACACAAAAGCCTGGGAACATCAAAATTGAATAGAAACACATACATCACACTACAGAAGGCCACTACCGGTATATTGAATACATGTTATACTGTTAGGAAATTCCTGAATACAGACACACACTGACACACTTATTTAATTTTTGTCTTGATTTGAAGTTACTATGCCTTGACTCTGGTCCGGTATGTGAGTTACACTCAGTTGACACAGCCATCGGTGTCAACTGAGTGTAACTCACAAAACTCAACATAATAATAATAATAGGTTTATGGCATTAATTAAGACATTCTATTAATTAATAGTATCATATCATATACGATTTTGAGGGAAATAACATTTTTGCTGTGCCATGTTGAGTCATGTCGAATCATAGGTGTGCCACGAGTAGAAAAAGATTGCAGAACACTGGCCTAGAGGGCAATAAACTCAGCGGGAGTGGAGGGAAAAGTGTTGTTTTAAGTTATGCCAACGCAACACTTGGGCAAACTGCTTAAGGGGAATGCCTTCCATGAAGTCTTTTTAAGGGTAACTGGCCTCTATTTAGGCGTTACAAGGGTGGAGAAACTCGGAAAACTCCACGTGGCCAGCCCGTCCTGGTGAGGCGCGAATCCACGACCGAACTCCTAGTGTTCAGGGAACGAAACATCTTTGGCACTGGTGGGTCAAGGTGGAAGTGTTTATAACTGGTAGACGGAAGTTGCGTGCGTAGAAGGACGATCAAGGAGCGAAAAGAATAAGAAAATCGCCAGGTCCACAACTAACTAAATATCGACCTGGAAGATCAGGCGACGCTTCGCCGACATCGTATCATTCTTGTTTTACATATACCAAATGAGCACAACATTATCACAATCCACAACTTTGGACTTTGATATAGGCCTATCTCTCACATAATCATTATTATTTAACCTCCCTTTCTCTTATTCCAGTCTTCTGTAGTTTTAATATAGGTTAAGGAATAGCGAATTAAACTTTTGTTTTTACATGGTAACCTTGACTGGATTTCTTTGTCAATCCTAACAATATATCTTACAATGTACTGTACGTTATACAAGTAATTAATAAAATAATATAACCGTTCAATACCCGTTTTTTATTTTTTTATGCAACATGAAAAAATAAGAAACAAACTAAAATTAGTTTGTAATAAAGAAGGTTACAATTAGCCTATTAGGAAAAGTAGCCTTATAAATAATGTTAACATATATTATTATTTCAATGAATTTATAAAAACTTGTTATAAAAACAGAATATAAAAATTTCTCTCATAGATCATTGTCAAACTAATGATACCAAATACTTTACTCAACAAAACAATATAATTAATGTAAATAAAAATAGAATTGTCGGGTATTAATGTATTGCGGATACGACCGCGACTATGTAATCGTAACTACCTGCAAACCATATGCGAAGCAAGGTTAATTAAAAGAGCCAGTAGCATTTAATTAATGCTATAGGTCAGAGGGAGTGCTTCACTAAATGTAAAGATGTAAAAACCTTTTGCTGTGTTTTATTCCTTAGAACAATTACCTTATTTGGAGATATGTTATCAAATTTTGAGTTTTTTGTGGGTTTTTTTAATTGACGTATGCATCATTTTAATTTCGTACATAATTATTTTGTTGGGAATTTTTTTACTTTCTTATTGAGTTCAATACTTCTATTGCTAAATTAAATTAGGAAACACTGGTGTAAGCAAAGTCGCGTGTTGTCAGTCGACTCTCAAAAGTTATTTCATGCAACAATAAAATTGCATGAAATGGTTGACTCATTTCACGTAACAATCAGTTGACTGCCAGCGACATCTAGTGTGCTTCTATGTGTTTACTCGTTACAATCAATTACACCGGCATGGTTTCTCCCAAACAAATTACGAACCAATCAAATCGTGACTATAGTCGCCATTCTCCGGATGTAAACAGAAGTGTATTGTATGGATTTTAAACAAAACTCGAGTGAAAATGTCTTTACTAAAGCGCAAATTAAGAGTTTTGCCGAAAGCAAAGCGGGCTTTGATACTCTTAGCCTTAACAGAAACGCTGGAAACGATTGAAATTAGGAGAAAACGTTCGTGTTGGGTTAAATCTTGGTGTAACGAAAAACGGCGTGAAAATCAAAGTTGTTATATTCAATTAATGAACGAATTAAGATTATCCAATGCAGAAAGTTATAGAGGTGATGTACGAATGGATATAGATACTTTCCATAGTATTTTAAGCAAAATAGAACCTGATATAATGAAACAATATACGAATATGCGTAGCCCCATTTCTGCTGGTGAACGACTTTCCTTGACACTCCATTACCTTGCAACAGGTGAGATTAGATTTTTGCATTTATATAATTATATAAAATGTCATTTTATGCTTAATGTATTAATCATTAATATTTTAAAATAGGTGAAAAATATCAAGGTTTAAAGGCCCAATTTGGAATAGCAGTCAGCACGCTTTCGGGTATAGTGAGAGAGGTTATGGATGCTATTTATAATGCCTATCATAGTGAATATATGAAGGTTTGCCAATTGTCTGTTTTATTATAATTATTAAATGATTTAAATTTCTGAAGAAGTCCTTGTGTAAATGACAGATTCCAACAACTGAAAATGAATGGATTCAAATAGCTTCGGAATTTGAAGACGCTTGGCAATTTCCGCACTGTGTAGGTGCCATTGGAGGAAGACACGTGCGAGTGAAGCATCCGGAAGAGGCTGCCTCGGCTCTTCCTGATTACAAAGGTTTTTATTTACTGTTTGAATAGTCTGTAAAATTATTTTTGTGATGCCTTCTTTTCCTAAATAGGTTTCTATGGTATTGTAACTATGGTTATTGTAAGAGCAGACCTTTCTTTTGTTTTTGTTGATGTTGGTACTTATGCCAGACAGAGAGATTCTATGGTTTGGGGTGCAACTACATTGAAGACTTTAATTGAAAGTGGAGAGTTAAATATTCCTCCTGAGGCATCACTAGAAAGTGGAGAATGTTCTTTGCCATATGTGTTTATTGCAGATGAAGAAATAGAAATGACTTCATGCATACTCCAGCCATACTCATATAGACAAGTGACAGCTCAGAAACAGTTATTTAACTTCAGGTAATAATACAAATACATTTATATTCTATACATTACTTCCAATATAAAATACCAGTGAATTACTTCATTCAGATTTATTTTCTCTTAATATTTAAAAATTACTGATATTTATAAAATATAAATAACACTAACACCAAATACTGTTACAAGAAATTAGCCACACAACCATCTATTGGCATTAGGGAAATGGCTTATTTGCAAGTACTTTTGACAGTATATTATTGTCCTCTTCAGGCAATATCATAGAGATTCTTTATTCTCTAGGAATGATATTGCCTGAAGAGGAAAAGTAATGCCAATAGAAGTTATGTGGCTAAATTTTTGTAATTACTGATATTCTTATATAATATGTAAGTTTATTGCATTAATGTGTATGTGTAGTCTAAAATGCAAAATAAATGGTGATTCCTCTTGGACAGACTTGTCTTTGATTTATTTTATTGTATTAATTAATTTAATTATACAGGATAAGTACAAGCAAGATTTTATCTTTGATGTCACTACCATCAGTGCCTGCTAAGATTGTAAGACATTGCTATATCAGCAAAAAAAAATTTAAATACAGATCTAGGAGTGATGTTTTATAATGTATTCTGCTTCAAAGGTTTCATTATATTTCCATATTTTATATATTAGTTTAGTTTTGTTAGTTTTTTTATGAGATACCTGTTATGAGTCTGAAATCTATGCCATATAAGCTCATTTTCATTTTTTTTTTTCTTTTTGTAAAGAAAGAAAACACAATTTCAAATATTGTTTTATTATTCTAAATTTTTTATTGTTTTTCTTTAGTCATTCATACTACAGGAGATAAGTTTTAAAAAGGATATATGGAGGATTAGTCTACCTCATATTTTTTTACTTGTATAAAGATGACTTACATATTGATGACTCACAACCTACTGATAATATAGCATAGATAAATTCTTGCCAAATAAGATGTATAATAAAAGTTCTTCTGATATCAAGAACTGAGATATAAAGCTTTAACTTTGATATATTTTATTATTTTATTATCATCTTTATTTATCCAGCTTGTTGTTATTTATTCCCATCCTGTCTAAGAATTTCATTTGCAATATTTTTTATTCTGTTCTGTATGTATATATATATATAAAATATTTAAATTAAAAAATAGTAAAATACATATTTTATTATCTTACATAATTGTTCATAATCTAAGTTTGATTTAAAATATTTCTTACAATTACTGTCTTGAATTTAGTTTATCATTAAAGAATTAAAGGATCCCAATGTTCATTAATATTATTGTATTTATTTGTATATTTCATATTTGTCTTAAATGTTATCTTTTAGTTCTCTAAATTGTCTGTATTAATTTAGAAATATTCCCATTATATGACTTCAAACTATAAAAATGATTTTTAAGTATTTGCTTACTTTTCTATATAATATGAATTTTTATATAAATCCATGGCTGTAATATTTTTGTTTATAGACTAACAGAGATCAGTTTACACAAAATAATGCAAACTGCATTCTACTCTGCTTTCATCTCTTCACATACAACCTTATTCTGTAAATGTTCTAATTTGTGATTGATAATTTTTTCTCTATAACACCTCTCTTCAGTTTTATGATTATTATTTCTATGATTTTAGAGTTACTTTCTTGCATATTTTCATTTCTACTGATATTCTCTTAGTAAAGAAATGTATTTCTAACAAATCTTTTAAATGTTAACTCTAACATTATTGAGTTAGGATCATATACTAAAATGAAAAGTGAGACTGTGGATCATGTAAAGTGGTGTTCAATAATAGGAACTGAGAGACGAGAGAACTCTAACCAATGAGCAAGAAATCTGTCATATTTACTTCTCCATTTCTTCTTTTATCTATCAGATTTTGAAATTTGTTATTTTTTAAAGCAAATAATTTATGCTAATTTTATTTTATAGAATTATAATAATTATATTTCTTTCATTTTTCTATAAATCTCACTCTATATCTGCTTACTTTAAAATTTGCTGTTTTTATGAATGATGTAATTTCTCTATTTTTATTGTATCAAATATTGTGTTTAAGTGCCATATTTTTTGTTAGCTATATCTATTCAATTTTATATACTTAAAATTGCATTTCCAAGAATTTCAGTTTATGACACTGAACTTATGGGAAATGAGACAGCTCATTTAACGAGTTTTCTTGGAATCAGTTAGGTTGTAAAAGCAAGAGATCAAGTAAACTTTGCACACTAACAGAGTGACCATAGAGTTTTTGTGATGCTAGTTCTAAGTTACTTTACAGTCCCTACAATATCTCTTTGCAAAAATGGGAAAGATTAAATTTTTCCCATGTTTTTCTGGACAGTCTTTCATGCTGATGGTTGGATTAAAGCATATGTTTAGATTTCAATATTATAAGGCACGTAAGAATTTTTCTCTTTCACAATGTTCCAAAAGACAAATTGTCATGTCAAGTCTGAACTTCAAGGTAAGTCATGCCATATCAGATCCAGCTGGTTAATCAATCATCCACTGAACTTGTCATTGAGATATTTCCTAATAGGGGGACATAAGATTCAATCTTTTGCATAGAGATTTTATAGCCACTCTGAATATGGATTTTGAGTCTATAATATTAAATGTAATAACATAAAACATTTAAAAAAAATATAATATAGAATAGTTTTAAAATGTTGACTAGCATTAACTATAATTGATAGATTAAAGAGATGAGAAGTATTACACATGTACTGTACTTTTAATATTTCTGTTAACAGTTTTTCTTGTATCTTATTAGAAAATAATTTTTTATAAAAGTATTTGTTTATAACAATTATAAAAATTGATTATTAGTATTGTAAAAAAGTATTGTGTATTGAAAATTAGTATTGTATTGTAAACTTTCATTTAAATATTACATAACCATATACATAACATGGTCAGTTAATCACTAACAATACTTTTACAATAATATGCAGTAAAAAAAGTATTAAAAATTTATCAATAAAATTTGTGAAATGTCAATATTCTGTTATTTAGTCAGCAAATAAAATTATATATGACATTCTGAATTATTTATCATTTTGTTTTTATATCTTTACAGACTCTTAAGAGCAAGAAATGTGGTGGAAAATGCATTTGGCTTGCTTGCCAATGCTTGGAGAATTCTAAACAATACAATTTTGTTTCCTCCGGATAAGGTCAAAAAAATAATTTTGACTTGTTGTATTTTGCATAATATCCTCATCAGAAGAAAAGTTGCATGTTATTTAAAATGTATAAAGTTTAACAGAAATACAGAAACACAGCCTTTTCTATATTATAAAAGGGATCAAAATGCAAAGATACCTACTCAGGATACAGAATTGATAAGAGACAAATTTACCAAATATTTTAATAGGACAAAGTGAATGATTTGATGAATAATTTGTGAAATGTGAAACAGCTAATGTATTTATTAAAAAATATATATATATATATATAATTTAAAATATATTCTTTTATTATACAAAATAAATAATTATTTTATATAAAAATAATGTTATGCAGATGAAGCATCATTTAAGATTCTCATTATCTCTTCATGGACTATCATTTTTCTGTTTTCAGGAATCTTTTTCAGTCTGGCAGCTATGTAACTAGCAAATAAATCATCCTCATCAGGAACATCCACTAGGGCCTGTTTTAGAGGTACCAAAATAATGTTTATAATAGTGGGAATCAGAACAAAATTTTATAAATTATAAAAAATAAATTACTGATGTGGCAGCTTTGTAAAATTTTTCACGCTCCTTCTCTGCATGATCTCTTGGACGTTTTCGTCGTCGATCTGTAGATTCTGCTGTTATAGACGTTGTATCTATTGCCGAACAGCTTTGTACTTCTGGCTCTTCCGTTTTAACTATTGTTAGTAAGTCTGTGTAATCCGTCTGTGTATCGGGTGCGGAGTCCTTTTAAAAACCAATATATCAATTTAAAATAAGCATAAATATGTAATTTAGACAGATACGAAACGTGTTTACCTGGAAACTAGATTCGGATGAACTGACATTATCCGAAACTAGTAGAAACGATAGTTGATTCCAGTGTTCCCATTTAGGTTTGTATACCTCCTGTATAGCTTGATTGCTTAATTGTGACTGTTCGACTCGTTTCTTTATTCGCAGAAACGTGGTTTTGATATTGTGGAATTTTTTCGACGCTTCAGTTCCTATTAATGTAAACCTAAAAAGTTACTTAACAGGATATTGCAATTGCGTACCAGATATGTCTAGTAAATTTACCGTCTATCCCTAATACTGCTCCAATTTCATTCCAGCACTTGCTTTTAATGTCTTTTCTCTTGTACGATTCTGTGTTAGAATTCCATATACATTCGTATTGTCGAATTAAATCTATCAAACGCGATTCTAAAGCCGCATCCCACCTTACCGCCATTTTCTTTATTCGTCCTTCGCGTGCTGTGACGTCACTCAAGGTTCATTCACACGAAGCGACTTGCAACTGCAATCGCATGTGCTGTTCCATCAATTTAGAAACTTCCCCGCAATTGATTATTTCTATCTGCAACCGTTTTGGTTCTCACTCTCAGTTCAAACTGCTCGTTCAACCTTGAAGATTGTTGCCGGCGCCGGAACTAGAAAGCAGTTTGTTTCCGGTCGCCGATATGTCCTCGCTGGTCTTGCCTTTTTAAAAAGTATTTCGCAGCTTAAGCCTTCTGTATTTAAGGTAGTAATATCGATAATTTAGTTCGATTTCGTCGCTAACATTTTCTGTGACGTATTGTTTTGGTGTTTACGATCGATGCGTAGCAACCATTGTTACCACGTGATTAGTTTATCTCATAAGGAGGTACTACAGGAAAGCGTCGACTGCGATTGAGTCAGGTTACAGTTGCATGCACTGATGAAACTAGTGTTACCCGAATATGACCTATTACTTAACACTATCAACTTCTAGGTAAACCAGATGTAAATAAAAATTATATTTTTATTGTTTAATACTCCATTTGAGCATAAATGAAATATATGTATATATTTACATATACACAGATATAAATATATTGTTTGAAAATTTTTTGGAAATTGAAAATATGATGATTAAAGCGTCGCGTACCGCACGCGTCAAACGCAAAACCGATAAACATGGCGGTTGGACTGGTACAATTAAATATTAACTTTTATAACTACTGTATTATAAAATTAACAATAAAAACTTTTAATCAGTATTCATAAATAAACATATAGCTATTTTGTAATTTATATCCAATAAACTAGTGTTTGTTTAATATTTTAATAAGTATTGAGATCTTTCTTAAATGCATTACTTGTGATATTAATCTACTTAATCGATTTGGCATATAACACTAAAACCGGAAACACTTATTTCTTCGAATTATAAATAAAAATCTGAGTCAAACAACCAGAGCATCCTGTAGTGCAATAAAGTTCACCTTCCATTATCTAGTGAACGCTTTACTATATGATTGGGCATTCTTGAATGGTAGAAGTTCGAATTACCTATATCTTCAGAGTTTTCATGAACAGTTGGATCAGGATATTATCCCTTATAGCCTGCGTGCGCTAGCAATTCAAGATAGTTTAATAATGGTAATGCAGGTTGTCTTAAGACTGACTAAAAAAAAAGGTGAAGAACTTGAGCTAGTTTAAAATGTTCCATCACAAGGCATTATTGTGACTGAAGTGCAAACCATCCAGTTAAGTATTCTGGGTTGGTCTAGCTGGATGGTTTCAGATAGCTTATTTTAAGCAACATTAGTGATACGATGTGTGGCTAGGCAGTGCCGGCCGGAGGCAAGTTTTAGGATGGAGCGAGATCCTATTATGGTGTCCCCGGAAAATATAGAAAAGTGAAAAAAAAATATTTTTTTCTTTAATTTTCTTTACCACTGAGGCATCCCCTAGGAGTTAGCGCCTGGAGCGGCTGCTCCATTCGCCCTGTGGTAGGGCCTGCTCTGTGACTAGGTTCCTAAAACATGCGATGCCGTAGTGTAGTCCTAAATTTTGAAGTAGGATTGGACATGGAAAAACTTTTTTAGTTTTTTACTCTTCCAATTCTTATTTACCACAATTTTAGAGGCTGTACGGTTTGAGGTGTGGGAGTAGCGAAAAATACCTATATCATTGTATACAATGGAGAGGGAGGAGATCTAGGCATTGTCTACGTAGAAATTGTTAACGGTATTTAGTGACATGAATTTGTTTTTATAAGCCTACTTGTTAGTCAGTCATATGCGAATAAATCCATGATAAGTAAGATTTAAAATACTCTTTTTGTGTCCGCAAACCGGAAGGAGCAAAGCAAATAAAAAAAATCAATGAATAATGGAAAATAATTCAATAATGAAAAAGAATCATGCCTAAAGAATCAAAAAAGAATCAAAAATATTATTCACTATGAGTCATGCCTGTGTGCTCTGTAGATT